CGGCCAATCCCGATGGCGGGCGAGGGCCATCCTTGCCCGTGAGGCTCGGCAAGGTCCCGTGGCTGCGGAGCATGGTCTCCGGGATGGCCCCGTGTTCTCTGTTCTCCCTAGACAAACCGCTTCCCTGGCCTGGGGCTCCCCTGAATTGCATGCAGCCCCTCACCAAGCGGGGTGAGAAGCGGACGTCGCTTCCTGGGGTCTCCGCGCACCTCCCGTGCCGCTCCAACACACTAAATGACCTGACACATCCTTTAGGACCGCCCACTTTCCCGCCACGCTGCGTGCCACTGAGAGCACCTGCTAGCCCTGAGCCGCCCCACTGAGAGTCCTGGGGATGAGAAAGGCTCATCTGCCTCTCTGCTCCCCTCCGAGAGTACAATAACAAGAGGCAAGGAGAAGACAAGGCAGAACAGCTGGGGGGCAAGGGGGGACAACAAAGCGGGGGTGATGTCAGGACAGGACAGAGGCCCCCGAGTCCCACTTCTCCCTTAAGGGTCAGCAGTGAGGACCACCTGCCCCGTATTCCTGGCAGAGAAATAGCCCCATGGCAGCGGCCAGGGCCAAGCTCTGCCTTCCACCTCTGGCTCTCAGCGGCCGTGAGAGGGACATGGGGAGCACAGGGCCCTGCTCCGGCTCTGCCACCGCCTGAAGATGCTCAACAAACGTGTTGAGTGATTATGGCCCTTCCCGACCGTGAGCAGCATCAGATGGGTGTCTTGCACTCATCCCAGCTCCGGCATGTGGAGAAAGAGCCTCCGGAATAGGGTATGAATCTGCTCCCTCTCCCCACCCCCTGCACCTTCCCATCTCCCTCTGGTACAGTCAATAAGAACATATCTGCTCGGCAGGAGCTGAAAACATGACCTGGAAGGTGGCAGAGCCATGGAGGCCGTTTATTCTCAGGTGGGCACGGGGCATGCCACGTGGCTGCCTGCAGTGCGGTCCCATGGCTTTGCCGCTGTGACCCTGAGTGCTGTCGCTCCGACACGGGAGGATGCCTTCAAACACAGGCTCTCCTAGGTATCCGTCAAAGCGAGAAGATGGAAATCCATGGCCAACTCCTAACTTTGCATTGATGGTGGACCCCAAACACACCACCAAACGCCTCTGAACAGTGGTGTACCTGAGACCCGAACCAGGAGGTAAGTTTGGAGGCTTCCCGCTTTCCCTGGGCTCTCCACAGCCTCCGATCCACGCGCCGGGGGAGAAAGGATCAGCAGCAAATGCTGCATGTCTCCCCAAAAAGACAAGGGAGACCCTGCCCGTGTCTCTCACGTCAGCGGTCTCGCTGTTAAGCCGTGCCCCCTTGGCCCTACTCACCATAGAGGATCATGCTGGCGTTGGTGTTTCCTAGCTGGTTGGAGGCTACGCAGGTGTAGTTGCCGTAGTCCTGCTCGGAGACGTTGAAGAAAGTCAGTCTGGAGAAGAAGGCTTTGTTCTCCACCTTCAGTCCTTTCTGTCCTTCAGCCAGCCTGAGAGAAAAGCAGAAGGGGAGAGGGTCACAGGGATGGCATCAGGAGGAGAAGCGACCGCTCTTTTCCATGACTCGCTATCCCCTGGTCCTGCCTGCGAGCAGGGACATAGAGTTTGGAGGAAAGATTGGGAAATATTGGGAAACCAAGAGGGAGAAGGGAAGGGGAGGTTGGACTGGGTGATCTCCAGAGGTCCCTTCCAACCTCAACCATTCTGCGATTCTATCATTCCGTGAGGAGATCGGGAGAGATATAGGAGACGGAGGCCACTCTGCTGGGTCTCGTCCCTTGGCTGCCAGCCTGCATCATCCCCGTGCCATCTAGAAGCATCCTCATGGATGCAGAGCCACTGCTGAAGGGGGCGGCTTTGCAGCTTGCCAAATGCCGTGCAGAGGGAGGGATGCTCGCACACCTAGGGAGGGTACTCAAGAAAGGCTCCTTCCCACCTAGCAGAAGAGCCTGGCTCCCTCCCATGCCTGCCTTGAGGGTTTCTCAGTCCTCCCTGCTCTAGGGGTTGCCTTCTCGCACCTTCCTCTTCCCTTGCCCCCCGCTTGCTCCCCGTGTGCCCCTGACAGGGCCAGCGGCCTGCACGGGCAGCGGACACCGCAGCGAACACCTCTGAGCAGACCCAAACGCTGGCACTGCGGTGGGCTCCGCACTGCGTAGGGGGTGGGCACTTCTCAGCCGGTACAAATGCTGAAGTGTTAACCGAGCGCTTCGACTTCCCTAAACTAGTGTCCCCCTCCTGCTCCGCTCCTGTGGCTCTTTTACTTGCTAATTCCTCCTGGGAGGTGCCAGATTCTCCATCATCACCCCTGCCGGGCTCTGATCATCAATCCGGGCGGGCTGAGCCTGCTCCCGCCACTGCTCCACGGGCCCTCGTGATGTGACCTATTTCCTTTCATCTGTCGTGCTAACATCCGCCGCTTTGTATGCTCTGCCTGCTCCTTTCCGCCCAAAACAGGGCTCCTTTCCACCCAAAACAGGCTAGGCAGGTAGACCCAGCATCCCCTCTAGCTTCTGTAGCATCTTTTTTGGCTAAAACGTGCCTCCTTATTAGCGACCCGCTTGGCGCATCCTGGGTTTGGCGATGCCATGGCCCCTCCAGGCTTGCCAGGGAGAAGTGATGCAAAAATGATTTAAAAACTTGGCCTGGGGTCAGACAGAGATATCAGCTCCAGAGCGGGACCCTGCCCTGCACCGCTCTGCTCCTCGCTCCCCAGCCATGTCCATCTACCACTGTTTTGGCCTAAAAGGGCGACTTTCACCCCAGCACCGGGCAGGCTGTCTCTGTAGCGTAGCGAACCCCGTCTCTCGACCGAGGTCATGTTTCTTTTGCCTTTCCGAGAGCTAGGGGCTGACGCTGCCTTCTGGGCAAAGCATTTAAAAAGATGACAGGGGTTTCACCTGCTCCCAAGTGCTTGGATTTGTGCCACCCATATTGCTCTTGGCCGTTAGGCTTCACCCAACCGGGGATTTACCACGAGACCTTAAAACGGGGGCACTGGCAGTGGCAATCCTGCCCGCACCGCCTACCCAGACAGAGGCCAAAACCTGTCCGGCTGAAAAAGGCTCCTGGAGAAATCCCCCCCCCTCAAATGCCCCCCACCTATTGTCCACTGCGCAGACAGTGCCGAGTTAAACGTAAAGCCCTGGTCTGCTTTTAATAGATGCCAAGTGGCAGCAGCTCCTCCTGCCACGAGACGCCCAGATTAGCTTCCAACAAGTGCAACCTGCTGACGTCGCGGGGGTCCCTCCTCAGCATCCGAACCCGGCCTGTGCCGAGGGTCATCGGGGATTCGACCGGCTGCCGCGGCCCCGTTGTTGAAGCCGCCGGCGCCGGGCATGGCTCGCATGGGATCGGTGTGTACCCTCCCGTTTCGCCCCCCAGGCTCTTACCGTTTGTCGTCTTTGTACCACTGGAAGTCAGCGGAAGGGACGGCAGAGGCTTCTCAGAGCAGGATGCCCTTCTGCCCCACTGGCACCCCGGTGCTCTTAGCGTCCGAGATGTACGGCGGGTCTGCGGGGAAGATGGGAAACCTGGGGTCAACGCCCAGTAGCCTTGGGGCATCCTACCCTCGCCCCTGGCTCCTCAAGCTCCCTTCTCTTGCCCTGCACTTAGGAAGGAGCCAAAATCACCTCTGAGCCCATGCCCAGCTCCTGCCACTCTGGCACCGCTGTCCAGGGGTTTTTGGGCTTACGGGGGACCCCATGCCATAGCCCAGCAAGGGCTCCTCTGAGGACTGGAACCCTCCGGGCTCATGCATGTCCCTGTGCTAACCCCAGGCAGCCGAAGGGGTGGCCAGAGAGGGGTTCAGGAGGGTCTTCACCTCTGTCTGAGCACAAAAGACGCCGCTTTCTTCCATGCGGTCTTTCTTTCTCTCTCTCATTTTTTCTAAAGGAAAAAAAATTCCCATTTACTGCTCACTTCTCTCCTCTCCCTGGAGGTTATCAGCACAGCATCTCACCATGGGCAGAAAACCCAGGTTGATGGAGACAGCTGAGGAGGAGGTGGTGGAAAAAACCAGAGCTCGAAAATAACGGGAAAAAAGGGTAAAACACCACTCGCTCAAAAAAACCTGCTGCTGCCCATCTCACTCTGGGGTCTGAAGGCTGGGTTTGCCCCACTCCCAATCGCCAAAGTCCCGTCCTCTTGTGAGGTGGCACAGTGACCCGCTTCGGACCTGGCCTGTCCCCGCCAGACCCTGCGCTACTCACAGTTGACGGTGACTTTGACTCGCTGGACGACGGGCGCTGCCACATCGTTGGAGGCGCTGCACTCGTACTCGCCCGACTGCTCCCGCGTGATGCCCGTGATCTCCAGGTACTCGTCCTCGCTGATGAAGCCCACGGCTGCAGAGGCAGAGGGAGAGGGCTGTGAGTGATGGGGAGGCACAGCAAACCCGTGCCTGCCAGCTGGCCACCATCCATGACTGCGTCACGCCATGCTAGGATGCCCAGCCCGCAAATCCCAGCCTCGGCATGCCCACGTGTCCCACTATCCCAAGAAAACCCCTGCCAGAAGTGGTCCCAGCCCCGCTGTGTGCATCACTCGTAAGAGAGAACATCCCCAACGTGTGCAAGGTGGGCAAAGCGGTCCTCACCAAACCTGCACCCTGCTAGAATGACCCGAAATCATCTCTCCTCAGCATCTGCGCATCCCACCCCTCCCTCCTGCTGGGAGGCACCGCCAGGCTCACCTGGCTCTACGTAGGCACCCCTCACTAATTTGTCAGCTTCAATTAATTCCCAGTCACTTCATTCCCATTAGTTGTAGTGCCAACATCGCCCTGCAGCCAAATCGCTTTGTCCCTGTGCCGCTCCAGGCTTGTTTCTGCAGTCCCTGTAGGGGGGTCGTGCTCGTCCCCCTCTCCCCTGCCCAGGCTGCGGCACAGCTCCCGGTTTCGCTCAAAGCTGGGCAGATGCAATCGGGGGTCTTTCCTTTTGTCCAGCATCTTATGGCCCCCTCCTTCCCTGCAAGAGCCTGCTTTGCTTTGAAGTGCTCCCAGAAACCCATGGTGCTTAGCTGGCGAGGCGCAGGTGTCGGGCCGTGATAGTCTCCGGATCGACAGAGATCATGGCGTTACAACACATGCGGAGTTAAAATAAAGAAACTCGGCAATTAGGACATGTCCACTAAATATCCCGGAGAAATGCCACCGGTCCCTGAACGAATGGCACCAGCAGGTTTTTGACGGTCCCCGAACGGGGACAACTTCTCCCTTGCTTTCGTTTACATCTCCCCATCAGATCTCCGGCGGTCGAGATGCTGTAATTACTGTGCGAAGCATCTCCGAGACCAGTGTCACACTTAATATTCCTATAAATTTTAAACGGTAGTCCTTGGTACATATGTGTGGCAATTGGTGTCATATTTTAATTAGGCTTGCCCTACACCATCTGAAATTAATAATAGCTCGAATTACCAGTGTAATTTATAAATTAACATTGCTGCAGCATTAGGAAATAAATTAGCTCTGGACAGCTGTTTCTGGGAGTGAGTGCCAATGGCAGAGAGGCCGAGCGCAGGTCCCTCGTCCCTGGGGGACACGGAGAGCTCGGCCGGTGGAGCCCGGCGATCCCGCGCTCGCCCTCGCTTACCGCCCGGCTACCGCTGTCTCTGCACTGGCATGACCTGACGGGCCACAGCTCACCGTGCTTGACCGGTCAACCGTATGCATCTTGCTCCTAACAAATGCATGCAAAATATACACGTGGGATGCTCCCGTCAGGGCACGCATCGTCTGCATCCCACCAGCCGACACTTTTATAGCGGTACATAAATAGGGAGGCGCAGTCACACACCACCGCCCGCAAAGCACGGGTACGCGGGGGTTTGCATGCAGGGCCCCAAGCCGGCACCGATGCGATTTCTGTAACGTCCCCACGCAGATCGATACGGCAAGCTCCTGCGGCGAACGCCCTGGGCACGTGTCAGGATCCTGCTGCTGCAATCCCAGGTGCCACTCCTGTCGCCTCAAACTACTGCAAATACGCCCGGCTGTAACGAAATCACACCTTGGCTCTCCCCTGCACCACACCTCGTGGCAGTCACCTCCACACGGCTCCCTCGCACACCCACGCTCTCGGCAGTCGAACCGAGGACCCCGTGCGCACACGTGTCTGCATCTCGCTATCCCAGGCTGACCTAATTGGGAAGGTAGCCTCACACCGCCCCACGAACTTCAGAAAGGGGCAAAGAGAGTTTTCCCGAGCGACGCACCGCGACAAATCGCTGACGTCCACCCACGCCCTCAGCCCCACGCCAAAATTCCCACCCTAGCGGCTCACGGTCAAAACCGCTGAGCTCGTCGGTACTTAGCGCAACAGAAGGGCAAGATATGAAGGCGTTACCCCAAAATCAATATCCTTTGGAGACACGTTACATCCACCAGGCCTGCAGCACCATGTGTTGCAAAAAAAAAAAAAAAAAAAAAAAAAAAGGGGGAAAAGGGGGGAAAAAAAAAAGGCTGACCTAGAATCGGCTTCTCTGTAGCACAGCGCTGCCTGCTGATAAAATAATGACACAGCTGGTGGCTTTCAGATGCTCCGTACGCAAAGCTGACTTCGGTTTGTGCAAAGGCTCAGATAACGCTCCGCTTCCCACCGAACCAAAGGTCCTTCCCCGAGCGCGCCGGCTCACACGCGGGAAGAATCAGCTCTCGCCGAGGCTAAGCTGTAGCGTACGTCCCCGGTTTGATGTGGGAGCAAAGCAGCACAAGTGCATTTCATTACCCAGCAAAAGACTTCATTAAAGGAACTGCGAGGGTCAGCTTCCCAACTGCAAAAGCTCGGGAAATTGAGAGATGAATGTTTCCGCCGTGCCTACGTAGCGCTGAAGTCCGAGATACGCGCGTGGTAATCAGTCGACAGAGAGGCAGAGTGTAAAGAGTTCAGGGTTTCTCCCTGCACAATGCGGTTTGGAGGAAAATTGGGTCCGTAAAGCCACTTCGCTGCCGGATCGCACTGACGCCCGTGTCGGCCGAGGGGAGAAGGCGCGGACCGAGAGTAATTGCCCAACCGCTCGGCTCCCTGGCCTCTGCATTTTTGCCTATTTGTTATGGGAAGTCTTGTTGATAGCTGGACAAATCTCATTCATTAGTGACTGCCAGGAATGAGAAAACAAATAGATGGGACCCAGGGAGCAGGGCTAGGGTTAAGCAAACACAGTCTCTAAGTGCAGACCTTGCTTTACTGAAAGCAACGGGGTGCCCGTGTCACCGTGGCTGCTGAGGTCCCCTGGGGCTGGCAGGGCGCAGGAGGGACATTTATCCACATGCCAGCTTGTACAGGGACACAGATGCTGCTTTGGGTGAAGCTCATTTCCCTGGGTTTAGGAGCGAGGCAAGTCCCAGTCCGAGTTTTGGATGGGGATTATTTCTCCAACCAGTCTCACATATATCAGGCCCTCGGGGATCGCGCCGCGGTCCTCCCACCGCTCGCGTGAGGCCAGAGCTAGAGTAACGCAATGGGCACCCAACTGCCACGGTTCCTGCCTCCGAAAGCACCTGGAGATCAGAGATGCTCGGGGCAGGGCTGGCCCAGGGCCCCGTAGCTCCGGGAGCTCTCCCAGAGGTACCAGTCCTGCTCTGCCCGAACAGACGGTGGGAACTTTTCAAGGCTGTCTCTGCCTGAGCAAAATTAGGAGCTGAAATATTGCAGGAATTAATGGGAGAGCTCTCTCATCTCCTCAGGAGCTAGAAAACCAGCTCAGCCAGCACCCATCATTATTATTATTAATACTAATAATATAACACAAGCCAGAAATGGAACAGCCAGGGACTAGGCAGAAGTGTAATTCTTGCTCATCAGCCGAGGATGATGAACTAACCTGGCGCGAGCCGGGAAGATGGAAAACCAGAGCCTGAATCCGTCTGCTTGGCAAGCGGGAGCCTGCGCACAGACCATCACGCGTTACTTCGGACTTGTTCTGCCAGACCGGCGACTC